CACAAAGTATACAGATCTAAATACCTTTAATGGAAGGTTCCCACTATTATCTCTTTTCAACATCTGACACGTCAACTTCCACTCCAACACTTTTGAGGGCATCTTGTTAATCAATTGAACGACTATCAATATTGTTTGCCCCTCATAAGTGACGTGAGACATTCATTGTCATCATTATGCTTGAGACTATCTCTAAAAGATGTCAGATTCTTCCTCTCTATTACTTCATTCTCTGTTGGGGTGTATGAGAATATAGTTTGGTATTGTATCCCTTGAGCTGACAAGTAGCCCCCAAATGCTTTGTTGATATAGTCTCATTATAGATCTCAGTGCCTTCACAATTGCCCCATACTGGGTCTAGATTTTCTTGTGGAAATCTTTAAAGCAAGAAATCACCTCACTCTTTTGTTTCATTAATTATATATCGGTAACACGAGAAAATCAATCAATAAACGTAATAAAATAATGATAAACATTCAAAGAACTAGTAGGACAAAATTCACATACATCAGAATGTATCAAATCAAACACACCAGAGCTTCTATTCTCAGAACTAACATAAGAGCTCTTAATGAGCTTGTCAAATCACGAACATCGCACACCAGTTTCTTCTTATTTGCTTTTTCATATAAGGATGAATACAAATGATACAATAGACTGAATGAAGAGTGTCCCATGCGCCTGTGATGTAGTAGCAATACATCCTCTACACTCCTCTCAAATCCTCCTGTTCCAGTATTCTCAACCATGGATGCCAAGGCTAAGTCCATCCCGTATCTATCCAAGTATCAGAGTCTATCTATCCAAGTATCAGAGTTTACTATACCACATGTCAGTCCCAAGTTTCCGGCCAGTCCCCTTCTCTTAAAAGATCACCTATGAAATATCAAATAAAACAATATATTTTAGTTGTAGTAAAACAATACTAATGAATAAAAGGTTCACTGGAAAGGAAGGAACAATAAAAATTTTGAACAAAGTCATAGAATTAGTACACCTCACTGTACTCATATCAATCACAGGTTGTGTCGTATCATCAGCGGTCTAAATGTTCTCTGGAGCTGTTAGGTGAGTAAAGGATTAGAACTCACTAACGTCACCTTTCACATGTCAAGATGCATCAGAATCTATTATCCATTCTGGTGAACTTGTGATGGGTATTGAGATAAGAGCATGTGTGTAATGAGCACCTTTAACTGAGTGAACATAACTAACAATGTTTCCGTTGGATGACAATAAGGTGGATGCATTGCCAGTGGCATCACATGCCGCTCTCTTCTTTCTCTTCAACATCTTCAGTAACTCGTGATTCTTATCGGTAGACCTCTTTTATCCATTTAGCCACAATGATTGTGACCACAACCTCTAGACTCTCTCATTGGGTAGATTTGGACGAGTCTTGCTCAGGTGTCCCACTTTTTTATAGTTGTAGCACTTGTGGGTCTCCCCCTAAGCATTTGTCATACATTAGCACCAGAAAGCTAAAACTGATCTCATTTCTGGAAGTCTACTTAATTAAACTGGAACACGTGCTGAGGTAGAGGCTCCAGTCGAGATACTATCTCCCTATATGAGCCCGACCAGGACTTTTAGAACTTCGAAATCCATCTTTCTTAAAAGTTCTAATCCCTCACCTCCCTCATTATCTCCATGTGATATTTTCAATCATGAGCTCCATGTGATATTTTCAATCATGAGGATCAAGTTCGCTCCAGACCGAACCAGGCCTGCCACTATGCTCTCTGCCTCTCTGTTTTAAGCCGAGGCCTACTCACGATTGCTTCGCTAAGACGACTTTGCTAATCGTGACTGATTTGCTTTGCCAGGACGCCGGTCTCGACCCTACTAATCCCGGCTGCTCGTCGCGACTCCTTTGGCCCTAATCGCGACCATATCTACAGAGTCCACACCGCAATCCCTTCGGTGCCTTCCCAGCTAGCTCCAATCGCGACTGGATCGCCAACAACCCCGCGATCCCGTCGGTGCCTTCCCAACTAGCTCGCAATCCCTTCGGTGTCTTCCCAGCTGGTTCTCGCGACAGCATTGCCTCAAATCCCGTCATTCGCCTTCAAAACTACTGTGTATTGTCGCAATCCCGTCTTTTGCCTTCCCAGTCAGCTCCATTCGCTGCTGTATTGCAATGCTTGAAGCCGTGATTGCGTCCTCGCCTTCCCGCACTTCCGTCCTCGCCTTCTCGATTCCCGTCACGGCCTCCCAGCACAGTTCCAACCGACCCATCCAGAATCCGAGCGGAAGTCCAAGAGTTTAGGGTTGAATTCGCTCATCAAGCCTCCTAATTCTTTAAAGTCTAGAATCTTTGATCAATAACATTTTTCAAGCTTAATGACCATCATATTTCACATTGGATTCTAATATCAGTTAATTTAGAAAAAAAAGCTATCGGAATACAATAGATGCATAAAACTAACAAATGGACTAAACACCATTACTGTAAAAACTTAGCTATGTACCAAAGGTTAGAAGTGGAGAGATGTACTAACTGAGCACACTCACATTAGTATAAAGAACATAGCATGAGATCCCATCCATGGACTCCTTAGATATAATGCAAGAACACCTTCCCACATCCAGAGGCAGAGGCCTCAGGAGCAGAGATCTGAAAAACCATTCAGCTCATCACCTCCATACTACTTCACCAGAACAAAAAAAAAAAATGGGGGTTAAATGTAGATTATTACCTGTTAGGAAGAGTAGACCATGAAGAAGCTGGAGCAGCATCTTTGTCCGAGAAATCCCAGACATCTGAAGAAGATGGCAGGGGTTCCCAAGGCGTGGATGATTCCAGAGAAGAATCAGTCTCAGTCTCATTGAGCCGAAAGAAGAGCTGCAGAGAAGAGGGTTTCAGTGCTATATTGCTCTGTTGTGATTTGGCTGTAATGTGCTTCTTTCCCTTGGAGGATGTGAAGCAGCCAACTGCGGCTGATGTATGGCTGGGAGCTATGTTCTCCTTGTCCATGAGAGGGTTGAGGCAGAGAATGAAGCAGCCGGAGTGGCTCCAACGGTCTGCACCCTCGTTACCGTTGATAGAGAAAAAAAAAGGTTTTTTTTAGGCATTTACATATTTACCACAAAAATTTTATGTACTTACAAATCTAACATTTAAATATTCATATTTTTATGCATGTCACTCAACCCTATTAACATTACATCAAAAATATCATTATCATTATCTTTTGCCCAAAAATATTTAAAGGTTTGATGGGCTTTGAAGAATGAATGATTAGGAAATGAGATTTGTTGAAGTTGAGAGAAATTATTTATTTTTTGCTCAACATAAAAGGATTTGATACAAAAATAACTTTCATACGCCACTAACAAATTTTCATTATCCATCACGAATCTTGAGGCATGATATGGATTTCTAGATAATATTTGAGCAAATGATGTTCAAATCTTGATAAAAAGTAATCCAGAACTCTGGTTTTAGCAAACTTATAGTCAAATTGACTGAATCAATGAGATGAATCTAATGATATCAAAGTCAGTCCAATTCAAGTTAAATCAAACCGAGATCAAATCATTAAACAACTTTTGAAAGATTTCCAGATACATTTGGAAGATCAAGTAGATGCCGACACTAGCAAGTCCATTCTCAAATCGAGTATCTCAATAAGACGAATCCAACGAGCCCAAAATCACTCAATTTGGTCATCGTTAAGTCACTCAAATGTTCATTAAACGTCGTATGACTGAAGAAAATTCTCTAGCCGTCTGATCAAAATGGTTCATATTCCTGCATTAATTGCACTCAAAACTCTATAAATAGAGCCTCAGAGAGGAGCTGAAGCCTAGAGAGAGAATCTGATGTCTTGAGGAGAAGCTACAACTCAGCATTACCGCTGGCTGCCAACGATTACCGTCGAGGATACCGCTGACTGCCGACGACCATCGCTGTTCGCCGAAGACCACCGCCAACCACCATCGATCACCACCAACCAGAAGTCGTCAGTCGACATTGTAATATAAAAGATATAGTTATCTTTTCTCGTTTGTGGGACAAAGAATTTATGTAATCATCAATCAATAGTAAATTTTTGCAACTGGGTCAGGCCACGTGGTTTTTCCCTTTATGGGTTTTCCACGAAAAAATTTCTAGAGTCATTTCTATTTTTTTTTTCTCTTTCATCTGTGTGTGTGTTAAATATTCGTACAGCACTAAGACGATAATTTGTTACTCTGCCGCTGCAAATTTTCTAGCACACATTAATTTGACAATGTTTGTGGGAAATCTCTCAATCACACCACTGAAGTACTTGCTCAATTTGCTACATGGCCATCAGACACAATATTCGGGACAACGGAATAGCTCACTCCAACACCCATCATTCTAGGGAACAATCACAAAGTCAAGGGCGGCATGTTTCTTCATCTTCCCGCCCTAGAAGATGTTATTCTGCCAACGAGCGGGGTTGGGTCCTTCTTTGGAAGAACGAATGCGTAGACTGAAGGAGTCGCAACTAGAGATCATACAACTCCTATGTGGGACCCAACAATCGCTGTCAACACTGTTGAGTTAAACGTGTTTACCATTAAATCCACGACCTATGAGAAACATAATGCTCGGACGAACTCTTATCGGCCCCCTCCATAGGAAGGAACACTTCTCTTGCCAGATCGTGATGTTGAACTCCTAGACACTGCAAGTTCCACTCATCCATCTCATGCAGCTCGTTTGACACCACGACATCTTGCTATCATTTCAGATGATGTCATTCGTAGCGAATTAAGACGCCTCATCCACACTCACCATACCATCCATGAATCCTCTCCCTTAACGGATGATGCCCTTCAGTACCCCATCTCAACAGGCTTCAAGTTTCCAAACATCGACACAAATTAAGGGATAAACAACCTCTATGAACATATTGATCATTATCAAACCATTATGCACATTCAATGTGCATATGATGCACTTCTATGCCAGGTGTTCCTGGTCACTCTTAAGGGACAAGCTCGAACTTTGGTTATGCTCTCTGTAGAGGGGAATTGTAAACACTTTTAACAAGCTTGTCATACTGTTTATGGAGCAGTTCATAGCAAATCGACGAATCATCGAGGATTCATCCCATCTTTCGGGAATTCTTCAAAGTGAAGGAGAGTCGCTCAAAGATTACTTCCAAAGGTTTTCTGTTGAAAATTGTCAAAATCCAGGAGTAGATTCAGAGTTACTAAGAGGGGTCTTCCTTAGAGGACTCCACCCAGGACCCTTCTACTCATCACTGATGTGGGAGACAGTTCGTTCTTACGCTGACCTTGTCCATCATGTTGAGGCCCAAATCTTATGAGTCACTTTAGGTTGAACCTAAACATTTAGGGTTAAGTTCAAATTAGTTTGGACTTAGGTTTAGGTTCAATTTAGGTTAAACCTAAACATTTAAGGTTAAGTCCAAGTTGGTTTGGACTTATTTAGACTTAGATTTATGTTCAATTTAGTTTGAACCTAAACCATTAAGGTTATGTCCAAGTTGGTTTGGACATAGGTTTAGGTTTAATTTAGGTTGAACCTAAACATTTATGGTTAAGTCCAAGTTAGTTTGGACTTAGATTTAGGTTCAATTTAGGTTGAACTTAAACATTAAGGTTAGGCTTTAGGTTGGATCTGAGGTGATTAGAAACATAGAGCAAAAAAGAGAAAATTTGAAGAAAAACTAGCTTGTGAAGGCTGGGGTAAAAACACTGAGGGCCCCAAGCACTGGGCGCCTATGCACCGGCCAAGCATGGGAACCCGAGAGATTGGTGCCAGGGCGCCAACCACTGGGAACCATGGCCCCAACTATGAGGTCAAGGCCATGGTGCTAAATCAGTGTTACACCTAGGCACCAGTTAGCAAAATGCAACCTGAGAGGTTGGAGCCAATCACTGAGCATCATGACCCCAGTCTAAAAGACCATGAACATGACTCTAGAATAGAATGGTGCCTAGGCTATAGGAGCAAATTCTCGACAGTTTTGAGACAGTTCAAAGAAATTTTACAGCGGGTGCATGACAGTTTTAAGAGCAGTATGGAGAGGGTTTCAAGGATAGAAGAAGAGTTCGCGAAGAGGAGTTGGAAGGTAGTCATTTCTGATGTGTGTTCTAGGGTTAGACATTGTTATGGAGGAATTTTCCTCCTATATTTTTAAGTGTCCTAGGCTTGTTCTAAGCAAGTCTAGAGGTTTGAGTTGTGTTGTTTTGTAAGTGTTGTTGTATAAATAGTTGCAAGAGAAGAGCAAGGGTATAGGTGGAGCAATTTCTAGGTAAATTGAGGGAGAAAGATAAATGTATTTGTGATTTGGATTTGTAAGAGGTTTGAGTTGTGTTGTTTTGTAAGTGTTGTTGTATAAATAGTTGCAAGAGAAGAGCAAGGGTATAGGTGGAGCAATTTCTAGGTAAATTGAGGGAGAAAGATAAATGTATTTGTGATTTGGATTTGTAGATTTTCTAAAACACATTTGTATGTAGAATTTCTTTGTTTTAATGCATTATGGTGTTGTTTTATCCATGCTTTCTGAGTAAATTTATTTATTATTCTTTGTGGTGATGTACTAGATGTGTAGGAATGTGAATAGCATGCATGAAATAATTTTTATTATATAATTGTGATGATTTCCTTCTATACTTAGTTTACTTTTCAATATGGTGATTTGATCAATTAAAATGAGTTGTGAACCCGAAAGGACTCAGAAGAGCTACGACATAAACAACTAAGAAAATCATAATAACTATAAGGTATGAATCAAAGTATACTTTTGGGAGATGAAAATAAAGATGGAAATAAACTTCATTGGGTTCAAAGTGGGACTTAAGGAATTAAGGTCACTTTAATTAAGCCTATTTATATGCTAAAAAAAGGGTAAAAAGGATTTCTGCTTTTATTTGTCACAATACTTTACCTTATTTTGCATTTTTTCCACATCTACAATATGCCATTATCACTTCAAGGAAAAGTAACATTAGCACTTGACAAAACCAATTCAGATAATGTAGTTAGAAATTCTATAGATGTAACCTTATATAATTGCAATAGGTTTGTTAGCAAAACTTTAATATTTCAAAATTCCAAATCAAGAAGGAATTAAGTAGAATAGAACATTTTCCTACTTTGGTTTCCCAATGTTTCCTGTAGGTTCGACATTCAGGACACTTTAGATCCCTATATTACTGAAACAATATGTATACTTGAGTGAGGAGCCTCAGTTTGTAGGAAAATCAGATTTTAAGAATTCAATCAAGTTATTAGAGAGCAGACCAAGTTTTATGGTGCCATTACTAGGATTTACATTATTTTGATAGCAGCTGAGGCAGATCAAATATCATGCAAACTTAGGAGGGATCCAACATTAGTGTTTGTTTCATCGTAAGATAGATAAATTGTTTTATTGAGATTTGGGGCATGAAAATAGTTAGAGATAATAAGATCAAGTAGTGGAGGTTGAAGGAGTTTGTTCTTATTTCTCAAAGGCCTTAACGAAGGCCCAACATGTTTAAGGTTCCTTCCATGGGATATAGGTACAATGGGTGTAGGTTTCTAGTTGGGGTATTTGGGAAAATTATGTGAGTCATAAGTAAAGGTAGAATATAATTTGTATGGAAGAGACTTCCATTTAGAAATGGAGGATAATATCTTGGTAATAGAGTCAAGAAAAAAGTTGTTTGTGTTAGCCTATATATTTACTCTGACAAACATGAGATGAGAACTCTTAGGAGTAAGAAGGTGTACAACTAGAAGAAGACCAATTTTATTAGCAATGATGGAGATCCCAATTTTTGACCAGTAGCATAAAAGTGACTTTGATAATTTAATCCATTGAATAACCTCTTTGCAATTCAATTGGAATTTTTCAATATTTTTTCACAACTTGTAAGAGATTACTATAATATAGAAGCTTAACCAGAGAGTAAATGACAAGAGTTAATTCCCATTGGTTAGAGCTATCCATTTCAAGATCAAGAAAAGCAAAATTTGTCCTCCACATAGAGTATGAAAGAGCATAAG